CCCCCCTGGCGTCAGCCCCGCACCCCACCTGGCGTCAGCCCCGCACCCTGCCTGGCGTCAGCCCCGCTAAGGCCCCTGCCCGGTGCTCCTGGTGCTGGCTGGACGCCGCTGCGGACTTCACGCTGAGACCCCTCCCGGGCCCGCCACGCTCCTTCCCGCTCCACGCAGCCTTACGCTGTGCTCCCCTGGCCGGAGCTGGGCCCCGCTGAGCCCCAGACTCTCAAAATAGAGCCCTGGGGTCCGCCTTCTGCACGGAAAACGGACTTACGGCTTTCTTTACCCGCGGGAAGTGCAGGAAAGGGCCTGGAAAGGGTCCGGTCCCAGGAGGCTGAAGGCGCCTCTGCCTGGGAGGGAAGGCGGTGCCCCTGGGAGACCAGTCCACGGGGCTGGTGCAGGAGGTGAATTTGTCCCGAAGCCCGGGATCAACTGGCGTCCCTGAGCGGCGCGGCTTAGGGTTCTCAGAGCAGGCCGAGGGGCCGGTGACTGCTCACAGAGCTCCTCCAGGCGCTGTCCTTCAGGAGCTGGCACCCAAGGGGAACGCTGGAGGCGCCGACACCAGCTGGGCGCCTTCCCAGGCGCAGGAGGGTGGAGCAGAGAAAGGCCCAGCCAGGGAGGCGAGGACGCTCTTGGGGGTGGTTGTGCTGGGGCTTGGAGATGAGCAAGACGCAGCAGGTGATGCTGACGCCTGGGGCAGGGGCTGCGGGAGGGACGGGTCACGCAGGTGGGCAGCCCCGCTCTCCTTCTGGCCTTGGCACGCAGCACAGGAGTCACCCTCGCGTCCAGAGGGCAGCAAAGAAACGCAGCCACAGGCAGCGCGTGACCTTGGGCTCCAAGGACAGACTGAAGCCTGTGAGCCCAGACCCATCCCTTGACAGAGCAGAGTAGAAGCTTCGAAGGGGACTGAAGAAGGGACAGGACACAAGTGGCCTCAGGGAACGACAGTCTCCTGGGAAGGTCAGACATCCGCCCTCCTGGGCAACCGTCCCGTCCATCCGAGGTGGGAGCCAACTGCTCCCTGGCGGTTCTCTCCCGGTCCGGGGCTCAGCACCGCCACAGCGCCCAGCCTGCCGCCCCTGCGGCTAGCCTGCAGGGGGCGCTGTGCGTGACCAAGGATGCATCATCCTCACAGCACGCGAGCCAGGCACCTGGCCAGCACTGGCCAGGGGGCACACTCGTGCCTTGGCGTTAGAGGAGGCCGGGAGGGGGCCCTCCCTGGTGTGCAGTGTGTTAAAGCACAGCACTGCTGACCAGACACAGCCGCCCCGGTGCAAGTTTGATCCTCGCCCCAGGGCTGACCCACACGGCCTGCAGACCTCTCCTGACCCGCCCGCCGCTCCCCTCAGCAGTGTACTTCATCAGTCGGCCTGTTCTGCTCCCCGCTCTGTCTCTGGGGAATCCTCTCACTGCCCCTACACCTCTGGCTTGTACCCCAGTTCAGTATGCATAAATAAATAAATCTTTAAAAGAAAAAAAAGAGGAGGCCAAGAAGGCCACTCACCCTCTGGCCCTGGACTGAGGGTCCACATGGGAGGCAAGGTATGTGGCATTGCAGGGGCAGACGGTCAGGGCCTGGCCCAGCAGCAGCTCACATGCCAGGGCTCACCCAGCGGCTGACTCTCACCCTGCAAGCAAGGTCAGCAGATTCAGCCCTGGCCCCGTCTCCTTAGGGCCTGTCGGCCACAGCTGCCCGGTCCCATGTGGACAGTTGTTAGGAGCTACGTGACGCTGTTTACATTTGCGCTCATTAAAAATAAGTGAAACGTAGACGCGGCTTCTCAGTCCTCGTCGCCACAGTAGACGGCACAAAGAATTTCCCATTATCATGACAAGTTCGATTGGACAAACATTCAATTAATTTTTACTCATTCAGTTCATTGTAATTTTGATGCAGTATGCTATGAAATTATAATCTGACATGAGACAAGGTCAAGGAAGTTTTCCATTAGAAGATAATTGAACAGTTGCAGGCGATTACTCTGGGGCTCAGGCCCACCCAGCAACATCGCTTCCACTGTCTCCAGAAGCTTCTGTAGCCAGAGCACAAAGACAGGCACTGAGCTGAGTCCCACTCAGATGCTGGCCCACAGGAGCTTACAACCCGCGTCACAGACAGCACCCATCTCTGTCCAGAGGACCCCGATGGCCCAGACTGGACACACTGGATGAAAAGAAACAGTCAAAAGGCTAAACTTCAGAAGCAGGAAATGCAACTGGTGCTGAAGCAACACAGTGCCCCAATCTTACGTATTACTTAAGATAATAACCACAGCCGCTGTCTGGGCAGGGTGGGCCAGCCACCCAACCCCCCTGCAGCCCTGCTCCTGGTCAGCACCTTCAGCTTCCCGGCCCTCAGCCCACCACACCTGCTGCTGGTGAAGCAGACACAGACCCACCCCCATGGGCGACGCAGGTGCTGACCACCTGCCTACCTGGGAACTTGACTTTGGTTCTCCAGGAAAGGAGCCCTCTGCCTGCCTGGAAGCAGCCTGCCAGACACTTCCATCACCAGGGAGAACAGAACCTAACAGGCCCAGCCAGAGCGCTCCACTCCCACACTGGCGACTCGGACATTTATCCTTTACACGATGGATTATTACTCAGCAATCAAAAAGATAAACGTGTGCCAGTTGCGGCAACATGGATGGAGCTGGGAAAGATCATGCTGAGTGAAAAAGAAAAATGTTGGATGGTTTCACTCATAGTTTCACTCAGAGCAGGAGTATAAGGGATCAGGAAATATATATATATATATATAGAGAGAGAGAGAGAGAGAGAGAGAGAAATAAAGTGAAAAAGAACGTCAACTAACAACTATAAACCGGAGACATTCTACAGAAAGGGAAGGAGAACAAGATCAAAACAGGGGTGGGAAGAACACTCAGGACTGTGGTGATGGCACAGGGGTGAAGTGGTGGTGGGAAGTCCACAGGGATTATAATCGAGATGGAAAAATGTACAAAATGAAGAATGATGTAAAAAAATATATATTTATAAAATAAACAAAGAGAAATGACTGGTTATCTGCACACAGGTGTGGAGCAGCAAATTAATACTTTTCTTTACTCTCCAGGCTGCAATTGTAGATCTGGAAATACCATACCCAAAGACAAATCGACACGAGCTCCTTTCAACACCGTACTAATTATCTTGGGGACCAGCATCTCCCCTAGGTTAGAAGCTTCAGCCCCCCACTCAGGGCTAGAGCATGAGTCTCACTCTGAGAAGCAGCAATTTGTGTCCTGTTGAGAAGGAAGAGACAGGGTGGGAGGATCCTACCTCATCAGAAAACCCCTCCTGGAACTCTTCCTTCCTCATCCCTCCCTCCCTGCTCCTGCATGGCAAAAGCTTCCAGGAGAAGGATTTGGCTTCAAAAGGGACGCTAAAATAACTTGCATATTTAACTTTATGCCAATTTCCTACCAAACAGCCCCTCCTCCCCCTTACAAAACCTCCCAGTTATCAGGAAAATGCGGTAGCCTGAACTTCAAAGGCATTAAAAGACGATGTGACATGTAGGGTATTAGACATGAAATTTCCTTTATTACCGGGAGCAAAAGCTGAGGGTGTAATCTCCTGTGAGATGCAAGCTGTAGCTGGTCAGGGTTAGAGCAGTCATTCGATGCAGAGAGCGGGGAATGCACCATCCTTTCATTTCTCCTAGTCTTTTCCTCCTCCTCCTTCTCTCTCATCAACCATGCAAATTTCCCAGCAACAACGCGCCCCCCACCCCGTGACACCAGGGCAGGGAGAGGACTCCCTCTGAGCAGCCCCTTCCAGGCCAGAGCCCCACACCCCCACCTCTGGCTGGGCCTTTGATACTGGATGTAGCAAATAGCCCTCCACTGCTGGGAAGCAAAATATGTTCCGAAATCCTAAACTCTCTGAAGGAAGCAGCGACATCTTGAGAAAAACACATACTACCCTTTGTTAACCTTTGAAGATGGCGAGAATACGTTAAATTATTGCAGATTTAGTCATGAAACAAGTTGTTTGCTGACAACCTAACACAGAGGAGAACCATGTCAGGATTTTATCGAGGTGCTAGGTGGAAGTACCCCAAATACAGGCAGGCGGTAAAACATCAGAGTGGGGGAGCACACAGCGGTCTGGCCGCTTCACCAGAAATAAAGTCCTTGTGCACAACGAGAGAGGCAGCCGGGGAAAGCACTTACTTGCTAAAAACAAATAGAATTTCTAAAACGTACCCCAGCCTCTGAAAGTACAGAATCCCTCCCCCCCCTTTTTTTTTTCGTTTTGTCTTGGCAGTAATTTTTATATAGTAATAATATGTCCCAGCTTGCAAAGAACAAAAAACGGACTGTTCTTCAATGGCTCGAGAAACACGCGGACTCACTGCCCCATCCGTGGCCCTGGGATGCTTTCTCTCCGCAGGGTCGCGGGCCTGGGGGGCTCATGAAATGCCTCCAGAGAAGAAAAACGCAGGGATCAAAAGGAAAACCAAAGCCCCTTTTCTTTTAACCCCCAGTGCCTCGTGGTAGTTGAACCCAAGGACGCGCTCACATGTTGCCTGTGTCCATGGCAGGCTTCTGCCAGCCCAGCTCTCATCTGCGACTCCCACTCAGCCGTGCAGCGCAGAAAGACAGACAGCAAGTGTGGGAACCTCAGCCTGCCAGGCGAGCCTTTCAGAGTGAGCGCGATCAAAGAAATGGATGCATTTGTGTAATGGAGCGGTTGACTTACTGAATGCTGAGTCCGGTCGAGGAAGTCGAAAGTCCCACTCGCATGGGTTCTTTGAGTAGTTTCCTAGGAAGGAGAGAAGGGGAGATTTTAGACTGAGGAATGCACTCTGGGATTAAGTCTGTGCCTTCTCTGTCCTGAGAACACCTGGTTACTCTCTGAAATCAGGGCTGTGAGCTTCATAGCAATGAAGATGGTAAATGTTGGAAGGATTCAGATTAAGTATTTTGGGGGTGTCAGGGGCCCCCCTGGTGGCCTTGGGCTTAAGTCTCAGCACTATCACCTCAATGGCCTGAGTTCGATCCCCAGCAAGGCAGTGGCCCACGGGGTGCAGCAGACCTCTCCTGTCTCCCCACTGCTCCCCTCAGCAGTGGATCTCAGTAGATCCGCTGGTTCTGATCCCGGCTCGGTCTCTGGGGAATCTTCTCATTTCCCCCCACCTCTCGCCTACACCCCAGTTCTTCTACAGAAAAATATATTAATAATAATAATAATAAATAATAAAATAAACAAATGTGTGTCTATTGAATCCTTTCACACTCAGCTAGGAAGGAAACCAGGGTCACACAACTCCAGTAGGGGAGGTGAGTATTGGACTGTGGTTTTGTACTGGGGTAACTGGACATCCAGCTGAAAGCATTTTACTATGTTCCCATGGAGTTTTCCACAACAGGCTGCTTTCTCCCAAAATGGGATATCATAGTGGCTTTTCCTACGTGGAGTTTGGAAGGATGAAACAAATTCTGAATGTCCTTTTAACTCTGGAATGCCGGGACAGTCATGCAAAACCCGTGCCAGCATACGTTCAAAGCGAGCACTTTGCAGTGACTAAGATGGCGATAAGATCAATAATGAATGTCATAACTTGACTGTCACCATCCAATCAGAAGAGTAAGAGCCATGTTCTTTAATATTTAAATAATCAAGTATCACTTGCCCTTCACACGGCCATTGCCACTGCATACAATTCATGGATGGGGAGAGCCCATCCCCAAACGGAAGGCCGAGACTCTCGACAGACCTGAAAGGCTCACAGTCACCCGGCACCAGCTGCTCCCTGCCCTTCTCCCACTCTGGAGAGAGATAAGTAGTAGAGACTAGAATACTGATGATCAATGTTCTTGAAATCACTCTCATAGAATAGTGATGCAATTTATAGCCAGGCTCAGTGCAACTCACAAGTGTCATTACTTGCCAGCACATGTTTAGAAGAATGTGCCCCCTCCCTTCATATGATAAGCCATTTCCTCTAACTTTATATCTGGCAAGTCCACTGGTGTTGAGAAATTGAACATCAAGAACATCAAGGTTCTGAAAAATTGGAGAGGGCAGCATCCGTAGAGGCCTGGGAGCACACACATCTATGAAGAGGGAGGACAGTAGCTATCTAGGCATCTCTCCGTCCATTCATCCACTCATCTGTCCTTCATCCATCCATCACCCAGCCATCCATTCACCCATCTGTCATCAACTCATCCATCAATCTGTTCATCTACCCATCACCCCTCCATCCATTCACCCATCTGTTCATCTACCCATCACCCCTCCATCCATCCACCCATCTGTTCATCTACCCA